CTGGCTGGGCGCTCAGACCCGGGCGGGTAGCATTGTCCTGTGGCATAAATCTCCCTCGCTGGGGCCCAAAGGGGCCGGTGCTTTTTATACCGTGTGAACCCTCGCGGGGCGCGACAGTCTGGTCGGCAAATGCTCTTGAGTCTCCAAAGCTTCCCTCCTCCGGGGTCTCAGGCCACAAGGGGTGGGGGTGGGGAGGGACGACGGCGGGGGAGGTTTCCCATTCCCCCTCCCCCTCCAGCGGGAGGGGGGCAAAGAGGGCAGGAGCAGGCTGCGGGGGGGGGAAGCATAATGAGTTTTGACAGTGCAGTCTCCGCCCCTCTCAACCTCTTTAGTGCTTGAATGGAAAGCTGACGGGGGAGGGTTTTTTCATGCTCTCCGGAGGAGGGACAGAAGTGAGCGGAATATCCCAGCAGCTCCGGGTCAGTTGGTGGATCCCGTCTCAGCCCCCGTCTCGGAGGAGCGTGGAGCTGCGCACAGGTGGCTGTGGCTCCCCGCCTCCTCCCTGTTTCCCTTTGTGCTCTCGCCTGCGAAGAACTCCCCCGAGGAGCCAGGGCAGAGAATTCCCCCAAGCCTCCTCGCCTTTGTTCGAGTCGCCTCTCTCCTCGCTGGCTGGGGGCCTGCAGCCAAGTGCCCGGGGCTGCTTCCCTTCCTCTGCTCCTGCTTGGTGGCGGCTTGCCGGTGCCTTGAAGAGACGAGCTCTCCCAGGGAAGTCCCGCTGCCCCCCGCAAGCTTGCTCTGAGGAACGGGAATGGGGGTGTGTGCGATCAATGCAACGCCTCAGACGGAGAGGGGCACGGAACAATAACCCGCTCCCAGCCTCCCCCTGCTGGGGTCACTGGCCCTCCTCACCCACCACCCCGGCTCGGCGCGGACAGCGGAGAGAAGTTGGGGGTGTGCAGCACGAGGTAACAGCACAGATGCTTTTTGTTTGGGGCGGCACAAACCTTCAGCTGAGAGCGAGAGCGAGCCCCGGGCTCTGGAATTAGGTCTCGAAGCCCCGCAGCTTCCCACCCACCCCTCCAGGTTGTGGCTGGCGTGGGTGCGTCCTTTGATGCCTGGCTCAGCGAGGAATCAGGATCTCTCCGGGCAGGACTGGCATGTCCGAGCGGTGTGAGGAGGGGAGCTGGCCCAGCCCAGCTGGAGCGTGCGTCCTTTGATGCCTGGCTCAGCGAGGAATCAGGATCTCTCCGGGCAGGACTGGCATGTCCGAGCGGTGTGAGGAGGGGAGCTGGCCCAGCCCAGCTGGAGCGGAGCTGGCCACCGCAGAGACGGAAGAGGAGAGCGGCTTGCCAGCGGCTCTCTAGGATGCCGGAGCTGAGCGGGCATGGACTTTGCCAGCCCTTTGAAGAGGGAAGCGTGGCAGGAGAGCAGCCCTGGGCTGGGTTGTGGGCAAACTGGTAGCTGAACCACTTGTGCGTGGCCGTCGGGCCTCAGCCGGGGGGCTGAGACGGAAGCGTGGGGGGATTAACAGTCCGACACCTGGACCAAAGAAGCTCTGCATCCCAGACGCGAGACCCACCTGGCGTCTGAACTTGGGCACTCGTCGGGCAGCCACGTGCCTGGGGAGCAGCCACGCCTCCCCTGAAAAAGGCCCCTTTCTCCTTTCCGGAGGTGTGCTGCTGGCGTGTCTGTGACCAGTTCTCCTCCTCTCTGGAACCGGAGCTCCTGCTGCTGGCCAGGGGGCCCAGTGAGGCGTCACTGCCCGTTGGAACTTCTTCCCTTCACTCCTCCCCCCCCGTGCCAGCCCCTGCTGGGTTGGGGCTCAGAGGCTGGGCGCTCGCTGGGGGAGCGGTTGGCTTTGTTCATGTGGCGCCTCAGGTCCTCCCCTGCACTCTCTGGCTCCAAGAGGATCTGGGAAGCTGAGACGAGGAGAGTCTATCCTGAATTTTTCCTGACTGGCCTCTTGGGCTCTTGGTCAGGCCCTGGGTCCTAACACCTGTGGCGCCGCGGAGGCCGTAGAGATGGAGTGCGCGGCTGGAAACTCTTCCTGCTGCCTGTGAGCCGAGCCCGCGCCGGCCGGAGGATGGGAATCCCTGGGAAGACGTAGCTCCCTGCAGCTGCAGAAGAGGACGAGGGGTATCCTGCCCCCCTGCTGCAGCCTCTGCTCTGGATGTGCCCCTGTCCGACGGGGCCCTTGCTGGCAGCAGCATGACGGCCTGCCAGTACCCCATCGCGCCCGGCTCCTTGGAGCGGGACCGGATATACCAGCACAAGGTCTCCCTGGTGGTGCGCTATTTCATGATCCCCTGCAACATCTGCCTCATCCTCCTGGCCACCTCGACCCTGGGGTTTGCTGTGCTGCTCTTCCTCAACAACTGTAGGTGACCCCGGCCACCCAATGACCTATGGCGGGAGGAGGAAGGGAGAGGGGAGGGAGGGGCTTTAAATCCAGACAGCCTGGTTTGGGCTCCCTCCCAGGCTGAACCCAGATCCCAAGAGCCACTGTGTGCCACGGGCTGGGATTCCCCTTCCTCGCCTGGGAGCTGCCCTCTCTTCCTCCGTGCTAGTCAGTGTCCCCAAGCTGAGCCAGTGCCTGCCCCTCCCTCTCCATCACTGGCTCTGTCCTGCTGCTCTTTGATCCCCTACCCCTACCCCGTTCTCTGCCCAGGGCTGGAGTGGGGGTGGGGGTGATTGAGGGCTGGGATCCTCCCGCCTTTTCAGTGCCAGCCCCTTGCTCGCTCGGTTCCCCGAGCAGCTGCCTGAGCCCATGTGAGCTGCTGGAGGTGAGAACCGGAGTGTGGCGTGGCCCGTGCTGCCCCCTTGCAGGGGCGGGGCTGCGTTTCCTCCCGCCTCGTCCCAACAGACCAGTGTCAGAGAAACTCTCGCTACAGTGATTGCGGTTCTGCGTGTGAAGGGAGGTGTGGCCTGAGCACAGGGCTGGGAGCCAAGAGCTTCTGTGAGCTCTACACCACACGACGTCCTCTGCCCCGGCTGGCCTTGGGCAAGACACTTAGGGCGTGTCTAGACTACATCCCTCTGTCGGCAGAGGGATGTAAATGAAGCACTTCGAAAGCGCAAATGAAGCTGGGATTTAAATATCCCTTCAATACAGGCAAACTAGGCGGTCGCCTAGGGCACCAAGATAAACGGCCGTTGAGGGCTTTGGAGGCGGGGACACCGATCGCGCGCTGATTGCATGTTTCACCTAGTGTGCCAGTTGCCAGCAGCTCGTCTAGGGCCGCTCCTGCCCGTGCTTCATTTGCATGATCATGTAATGGCGCTCTTTCGAAAAAGCGCTATTTCGAAATTGAAACCGCATTCTAGACACGGTTCTTTTGAAGTGCCCCGTTTTTGAAAGAACTGCGTCTAGACTGGTTTCAATTTCGAAATAGCGCTTTTTTGAAAGAGCGCCATGACGTGATTATGCAAATGAAGCACGGGATATTTAAATCTCCGCTTCATTTGCACTTTCGAAGTGCTTCATTTACATCCCTCTGCTGACAGAGGGATGTAGTCTAGACGTAGCCATAATCCCCGGCTCCCCATCACCCCCTGCTGGTCTGGGCATGTCATTGGAGTGGGCTGTGCATCTCACTGCCCGCTGGCCAGCGGCCCCAGGGCCCACCCTCTCTCCCCTCCTGTGCCTCGAGTGGTCAGCAGGAGTTGGTGGGAGAGCAAGGAGGCATAGGCCTCCCCTGGAAGCTGCTCCTACTGGCTGTGGGGAGCAAGCTGCTGAGGTAACGACTGGCACCAGAGTCTGGATTAGTGGTACCTACAGGCCGCTCCATCATTCTGCCATGTGCATGCAGAGCATCTCCCAGCACAGGTGTCTAACCCCCTGCCGGTATCTCCTCAGGCTTGGTTACATAGCAGGGGGAGGAGAAATCCATCAGGCCTCAGCTTTCCCCAGAAACCTTCGGAGGAAACGTTGCTCTGCCATACCCTTTGCCAGGAAACCCCTCTGGGCCTCCAGCGTAGGAGATGGGGAGGGTGGCTGGCTAGGAAATCAAATCACAGGCATCTGGAAAGGCTGCGTCCTCCCACCTGACTGCCTGGAGAGCACTGTGAACAGCAGCTAAAACGCAGCGTTGTACGGAGCAGGGGCCAGACAGTGTTTCTGGAAGAATGGGCTAGTGGCTCCCACAGTGGACTGGCCCTCAGGAGACCTGGGTCCATTTCTGCCTCTGCCTTAGTCTTGCTTTTTGACCTTGGGCAAGTCACTTCCTCAAGTTGGGGGTAACTAGGGCGCTCCACCCTCATTTGGGAGCTGGAGGCGAAGGGGCTTTCTGTGGAGTCTGAGGGGGTAAAGGGAGCAGCCGCCTCCGTCCATCCATCAGGCTCTGAGGTATTTTCAGAGGCGGGTTTGTGATGGATTCTGTCCCATCCTCCAGGCCCGAGCTCCTTTCAGTCCCGGGGCCTGCATCTTGCATTTCCCTGTGGCCCAGGCTGTCCATTTGTCCTATTGTTATCCCCCACCCCTGCCACGCCTCCCCTTGCACGAGAGGCTGTTGCACTCAGCATAGTGTCCCGGATCAACTGGAATGCCTTGATGAATTGGAGGTGTGGGAGGCTCTGGGGTGAGAGAGGTAATTCAGCATGGCCTGGACAAAGTGACCCAGAATTGCCCCGGGCAACCAGAACTCACCTAGCAGGACAGGGAAGGCTTTGCTGGAGCCAGGTTTGACATGCCCCCAGCCGCCATGCCCCCGGCACTGCCAGGCAGAGGGTTGGCTCTGCAGGGAACTCTCCGAATCAGCCGGTCCGAAGCCGAATGAGCCCTCATGAAAAGGTCTGGGGTCCACCGTTGCCACGGCAAAGGGTTCTCCTCCCGATTACAGCCGGCCTGCTCTGTCAGCTGAGGCAGTCACTTCGCCCCTCTGGGCCTCCATCCGGGGGGGGGGGGGTGTTAAGTTTTGAGAACCTTGGGCGACAGGCCCTGGAGGAGTGTTTACTACCCTCCTCCAAGCGCAGGCCGGGCCGTGCTCTGTGCAGTGGGGCGGGGGAGGATTGTGCCAGGGCTGGAGGAGTCGCTGATCTCCCCTGTGTTTGTTTCTTTGCAGACAAGCCCGGGAACTACTTCCCCTCGCCGCTGCCCATGCCGCAGGATGGTAAGTACGGGCTGGCTTCCTCGCGCTTGATTTTTCTGCACTTGGGACGCACTTAATAGCAAATTACTTGAGCCTCTTCTGCTTCCTCCAGTCGCCTGGTGCAGAAGTGCCTTCCTGCCCCAGGGCTCTGTTTCTCAGCCTGACTCATGGTTCAGATGTGCATGTTCCCCCCCTTCCCTCTTATAGCCAGAGCAGGCTGGGCTGCTCCCCCACTCCCTCTCCTGCCGTTTCTCTGCCTGCTTAGGAAGCATCAGAGTGGCTTTGTCTGCTCTCGCCCCGGGAAAGGCACAGCACCCTGTGGCTCCTTTTCTCAGCCACCGCTTCCTGGGAAGAAGGGCCCAACCCGCCTAGACCTGCAGCGGGCAGATCTTTTCCCCCTGTGCTAGCTCTGCTTGCAGAACTCCCCCACGAGGCCATGCCACCTGCTGGGATGGAGTGGCCACTGGCGCGGGGCCTTGCTGGTCTTCAAGGACAGGGGTGGGCAAACTGCACCCTGGGGGCCACATCCAGCCTGGTGGACTTTTTTTTTAATCCGGTTTTTGAAACTTCTGCTGGGGAGCAGGTCTGCCTGCAGCTCACAATTTCACCATCCTCTAGTATGCAGCGCCATGCTGCACAGGTGTGATTCACCGCGCTGTTTCCGGGATCGGAGTCCCGCCCTTACGTGGCAGTCCCGCCCCCCTCCTCCCAGCAGCAGGGTGCCCAATCCCCTCCCAGTCTCCTACAGCCCAACCTTCAAGAGCCTCAAAATCACCCAACGGTCACACGCAGCCCAGCTAGAGTGCTCCTGCCTGTGGTGGTGTCTGGTATGGTTGCCGTGGAGTCATTGCTGGCGGAGTCCCAGGCAGTGATCCGTGTAAGCCAGTGGTTCTCAACTCGTGTCAGTCCACGGACCACCAGGCCAATCAAAATATTTTCGTGGACCACCTCCTTTTTGAGACATGATAAAAAAGAGCAGACAGAAAGGCGTAAAACAGTCTAATGGCAGCGCCTGCTCACGCCGTGTGTCTTTGGACAGTGTTCCTGTGGACCACCGAAAAGGTCACCATGGACCACCAGTGTTCCATGGACACCAGTTGAGAACCACAGGTGCAAGCTGAGTGCTTGGGCAGCTGCCCAAGAGAGATTCAAATGCTGCCCAGATGATTAGCAGAGAGCCGGCAGCCTGTGTTTCTACTAGCGGTGCACAACTGCACACACCTTGGTGTTCATAACAAAATTTATTCTGCGCCTGGATGAGAAAAATTCAAAGGAACATTGGTCCCAGGAATGTACCTGTAAAGTTTCCTCCCGCCTCCCCAGTGCTACATCCCATAGCGTCCCCTGCCTCCACCTCAGTAACATTCCTATAGACAGGGCTTGATGAACCGCGGCGAAAGCTGCTCGCCAGCCCCGCACTGCTCATGCGCAAGAGCTGCATTGCACATGAGCATGCCACCGGTAAACGGGGCGCCGGGCTGAAATCTACTAGCCATGGGCGAGTAGATTCAATAGATTATTGAGCCCTGCTTATAGAGTTCTCCCCCACAACATACCCAAGGGTCTCCCAGCCTACTTCTGCTCGCCATACAATTTCCAAACCGAGATGCAGCCCTCAGGCCAATGTCTGCCCACCCCTGAAAGTGGGGAAAAGTAATGGTGACTAATTCTGTGGCCATAATGCCATTGTCCCCAAGGTGCCTTGGGTATTGGCAGGGCTTTTTGCACTGGGCGTTGGTACTGGGTTGGGAAATTCAAACAATGAGCTGAATGGCTGGTTTGCAGACAGGTGGGAGGCACCGGCAGGGGTGCCCTGGGCATATGGAGCTCAGTTCCAGGCAGTTTGGCCAGGGAAAGCCCCTTTTCAAGGTGGTGACGGGTTAGCGTGTGGGTGGAATGGGGGAGCAGTTCTCTCCCTCATGGTTCCTTTTGTCTCAGTGCATATTAAGCTCACAAGTTTGGGAGGCTTTGGAGAGGAACAACCTGAGAAGCAGAATAATCAGAGCTATGTATTTACAAAATCCTTTTTTCTCAATCTTTGCTGGCAAAAGTCCCAGAGACTGAAGACTTGTGCTTAACCACAGCATGGGTAGCAGCTGTTCAAGCTTCACTCCTGCCCCTAGGCTACCCTGCCACTGTGCCCACAAACCTTGGCTCCGTGGCCCCCCTGTAAGCAGGGTAACAGGCTGGCAGTGTTTCCCTGAAATTAGGGAAGGGTTAAGTGGGTTCTGCAAACTCACTGAGGCAGATGGCTCATTGCCTGTTCTTCATATAAGAGGTGGGAGGTGCTTTTGGAGAGAGAAGGGACATAGGTTGTGGGCTGAACAGTCCAGAAAGGAGGAGCCAGAGGAGCAGTTAAGACTAGGGTGAAGGTTTGCACGGTTCCTTAACTTGGTTGGTAAAGCCACCTCTTAGATTACACAGACCAGGTCTTGGGGCAACTGGGGAAGTTTAGTCTTTGAGCGTTTTGCCGGTACTGCTGTACTGACCCTGCACATTATCTGTCAGGCTCTGACTGCAGCTGGCATAGCACTTTGAGTACCCTCCTGGCATCAGAGGCAGAATAGAAACTTCTTTGCAGCTGGGCATTGGGTGCCTTTTACTGCCACGGTCGTAAATGTCTTTCTTGACAGTGAGCCAGCTGGATGCTTAGAAATGTGGACCCGAATTCTCTCCCCTTCCTTGGGGTTATTTGTATCCCTGAGGGAGTCAGAAGATTTTCTGTTCCTGGATGCTTCACTGTCCCTTTATTTTAACCCTCCCAGCCTCATGGTCTCATGCTGCCTCAGTGGAATCCCCCTTCCCCAGAGCCCAATGTTAATTTCCCTGATAGAAAAAATACCCCTCATTTTCTGCCTACATTCTGTTCCGTCACCTCATCTATGTTTCACTGGTTGAATGCACAGATAACCCCATCTGAAAACGCAGCCGATTATAGCATGTTAGTTTCTCTCTCTCTCTCTCTCAGGGTGCGGGTGGGGAGAAAGATGGGGGAGAAACAGATGCCAGATAAAATGTCATTAATCTATAATTGGCCCAAAGAAGACATACAATTCAAAAATAAAAAGGAACGTAGGTGTATCTCCCATCTCAGGGCTCTGAAATATTAATAACCAAACCCATCCAGCTGACACATTCCACAGAGTCCCCGTCAGGAGGTGGAAATGCACAAGGCTTACGCGTGTGCCTAAAGGGGGTCCTCTCTGCTAGCCTGAAACGTTTCAAGTGCATATGATTAAAAATCCGGGATGTCTCCACTGCTTGTGAGGCACTTCGGAGAGAGGGGTGCAGATTTCTTTACAAGACCAACTCCTCCGCCCTGTCTGTACAGGACTGCATCAGCAAAACTGGTAGTGTCAATCGCCCGTCACCTGCATCTGTAATAGGTCCCAGTCCTGCGAAGACATGTGTGCGTGGGCATCACTTTTAAATGCAGACGTGGGCCGTCGACTTCCAAGGGATTGTGCAAGGAAAGCAGGTGCACAGATCTTTGCAGGACAGGGACAGGGCTCTTATTTGCAGAGTCCCCTAGGCTGTATCTGGCCTCCAACTCCGGTTAAGTGGTTGGTTGGGTTAGGGGAGGGGAGAGCGCTCAGGTACTGTGGAGGTGGGAGCTGTAAAAGAGTGGAGCTAGACCCACACCTGGACTGTAACTTGGCCACATGGTCGTATTTGTCTACCTATAGCTTTTTAATTGTGGGCACCTCTTCCATTAGTAGCCTTAAACCTTTTATCCCCCTCCCATCCTCAGTTGTCTTACAACTTGCTAGTAGGGATGTTAAATATCGGATAATTGACTAGTCAAGTAACTTCATGAATTCTTATTGGTTAGTCGGCTATTCTATAGTCCCCGGGGGGGGGGGCAGCAGCGCAGAGTGCCAGGTGGGAGCTGGTCAGTGAGGGGAGTCAGTTTAAAATCCAGCTCCCCTCATGGACCGGCTGTGAGTCACCCTGTGCTGCTGCCTCTGATAAAGAGGCAGCAGCGTGGGGTGGCAGCAGCCCCTGTCTGGGGGAGCTGAGCTCCTGGACCCAGCGCAAGCCAGAACTGAGCCAGGCTGCCTGCCTGCCTGGCTCCTAATACACTTTAAATGCAGAGCCACAGTGGGGGTATTTCCTGGACCCAGCATGAGCCAGGACTGAGCCGGGCAGCTGGTCAGCCTGCTGCCAAAAAATGTACTGGCAAGGGAGGGTGGAGGGTAATGCGTGTAGTCTATAGCATTACCCCATAAGCCTTCGCTTATTGGTTAATCAGTTAATTGACTACACTGTTGCATCCCTACTTGCTAGCTATTGAAAGATATTTGGTTGGGGAGTTTTGGCCTTTCTCTGTGCTGAGGTGGGACACTGAATTAGTGATGTCATGGGCATTGTTCTCGGATGACAGCAGATTGGGTAGGGGTGGTGATGCCATCCATCAGCAGACAGACAGGCAGGTACTCCTGGAAGGAGGGAGGGTACTTTGCCAGAGTGCTGGGACTATGTGCGGTATTCACGGAGCACAGGGCAGGCTACACCGGTTGCTTTTTCTGTGCTGAGGTGGGACACTGAATTAGTGATGTCATGGGCATTGTTCTCGGATGACAGCAGATTGGGTAGGGGTGGTGATGCCATCCATCAGCAGACAGACAGGCAGGTACTCCTGGAAGGAGGGAGGGTACTTTGCCAGAGTGCTGGGACTATGTGCGGTATTCACGGAGCACAGGGCAGGCTACACCGGTTGCTTTTTCTCCGATGTTGGCTTTTACAGATCTGCATCACTCTATTGCCTCCAGGGAGCTGACCCTTATCTGCGTGAGCTGGGGATCTGTGCTTCGCTCTTTGGGGCTGTTTGTTTTTAATAGCTTGACTTCCAAACAGCGATACCAACCTGCATGCGTGACACTTTTATAGACAAGCAGCAAATCAAAGTCCTAGAAAGCTAAGCTATCCTCCCAGTGCCACCTCCCTCATGCTCTCCTGTTGCATCACACTCCCTCCCCCCCCTCCCCCACAGGTCTGTTTCTCTTTAGATACGGGAAATG